GTCGGTCGGTCGGTCGGTCTGAGTGTGTGCCGTACACGGCGGTGGAGACGACCTCGACGCGGCGGCGGCCGGACTCACTGCCGCCGTGCCAGTGCTGCCACCGCGACCGGCGCGAAACGACCGTGCGCCGCGGAACCGACGTGTAAAACCATGACCTTGCGCGACGCGCGTGTAGGCCAACCATAATATTATGATCTCGGCGGCGATCACGTGTTGTGTTTTGTACACACGTACGTAATACACTGTGCCGTGTTCCATGTCCGCACGGAGAGAAAAAAAAACACATAATTATTATTATTATTATTATTATTACAAGTGTTGTTAAGGCGCGCGTGTCAAACCGTCAGCTCTTTGGTTCCTCGAGAGGTACGGCGGGGGATGGTCAAGGACAATGTAATATTATTATTACCAGAACATATTTGAATACGAAAACGGCGACTGTTCGACCGGGTCGCCGCCGTATGTTAAGGCGATTTGTCGCGGATACGTTTTTCGAGGATCACGGTTGACCGCGTGGTCCGAGTGCCGGTCAGCCGTCGTTTGAAATCGGGCTTGCGTGTTCGACGCTTACCACGTTACGCACGCGTCGCGCTATTGTTGCGTCGGTATCGCGCGATTAAATGAAATTCCTTCGGATCGCGTTTTACGAACGATTTTTCGACCGGGATGGGGGGGGGGGAAATGCCGAAATTTGGAAAACCAACGCGCGTCCGACGTAGTAATATCGTTTAAAACGTAAACAAATAGTGTTCGCGGGCCGCCGACACCGATCGAGCGATAATGATCGCACGAATATTATTATTAAGATTTTTTGTTATTATCACGTCTCGTTCTGTTCGCAGTACCCCCCGCACGCGCGATCGCCGTGTTGAGAAGAAAAAAAAAAAAAGTTCTCGAGAACTCCGCGACGGCGCAAAGCGTAACCCAACCTGAAGACGGGCGCGAATGGGAAATCGGACCGAACCGTCCGTGAGGTAATACGATACGCGTTTTGCGCTTCGGATTTCAACGGACGCGTGTACCGCCCGACATCGCCTCCGCGCAGCGACTTCCCTGCACCGCGTGCCAGGATTGCGATTTACACCGAACCCTTGCCCGCCACACAAACGTGCGTCGATCGAAATGTGTCGATGTGGGCCGTACACTGTTATCGGCTGAACTGTACGACGTGTATCGGGAACGGATCTGGAAATATGAATTTGAGAGGAGGGGGCGCTGCGTTTACAGATAGACGAAATACATCGTTTCTGTGCATACAAATGGATATTAATCGTGACTTATTTTGAAAAGACAAAATACGAAAAATCTACAAGTTCATTTGTTTTTCTACCGTTCTTCGATCGAAGACATACCTATTAAGTATTAATTACATAATACGTCCGAACGGAGGGTTGAAGCCCCGTTGGATTCGCGTCTTACGTGTTAATACACGCCGTCGACGCGCCGTCGTCAAATCGTTTTCGATCTTCCTTGCTCCCGTTTTCGAAGCCCATGTCGTGAAGACACGATAATATTCTACCTACGTGACGCCTATTCTTAATCGTTTACATGGGCTTTGAAAATGCGAAGGTGGTACTGGTAGGGGGGGGGGAGAATATTTATAAATTACCGAAACGATGTGTCTGCTTGAAAATCGTTCGCCGAATATTGGAACGAAGCCACGGGACAAGCCCGACGATTATTAATTGCATCGTTTACCGATATTACACCTCGTGAAATCTACACCGTGAGCACAAATAACCATATATGGTCGATTATAATTGTTTTTTTTTTTTATTTTGCTGACCAGCAATGATGCACGCGCGATCTCTTTGAAAAAACATTATTTGATTTCGTGTTGATAATAGGCACGACACGTAAAAACATTTATTTTTTTTTCCCTATCTTAAGATTGGTTTTCTCGAATGTAATCGCAATAAATGTTTTCTCAAATTTTCTCTGTCCTCTACCGTGTCTTTTTGCTCCTTGCAGGAAGCATCCTTTATTGCTCGGCCGATGGATTTTATTCTAGGCACTTCTCTTAGTCGTGTTCCTTTTATCATTCCCTCGATTATTTGACTATGAAATTCGTTTTCGTGTCTTCTCTTTTTTTTTAAGAAATATGTTTTTTACTCGAACTATTTCGTTTCTGATTTCCATCAGTTGATTTCCCATATTCTGTAATAATACCGTCCAAGTACTTGAAATGATTTACTTGCGTAATTACTTTGTTACCTGATGTTATATCCATTGTTTGTGTGTTGTTCTTGTAGGGTTTTAGTCTTGGCTGCATTTATTTTTTTAGACTATAATCATCAAAAGTGTTATACACTTTTATATTTAATAAAAATAATAGTGTATCAAAAATGTTTTACCTATGACTATACTTCAGAAGGGGCAAGGATTCATATGATTGTTCGTATTGGGACTCCTCAAAACCTAGTAGCAGCTCTGCCCTACAAAACCTATATAATAAGCAGCAGTGACGTACAATTTAAAATACGTATTCAGAATGCATGGAAGTTCATAAAAATGTACGTCAATATCAGTTCCTCACCGCTCAACCATACTCGTATTATTATGACGTATAGACTATATGTATAAATGGATCTACGTACCACGATTTCTTCACCACATATAAAATAATAATAATAATATAATACTATTATCACAATAATAATTAACATATTATAATATGTATGCATATATATAAGATAGTAATATTATCAGTGAATTGTTGTTTAAGTCAAATTCGATTTCGCTATAGTATGATATGTATATAAGTAGTATAAAAGCAGCAGCGACCTTGGGTAAGACGATCCCATATCGCGTGTTATATGTGTATATATGTGTGTGTGTGTGTTTGTGGTACAAATCGCGTTCATTCGATTACGCATCGTTCCTTGGCAAATTATGCACACAATGTATTATATTACGCGTTCCATATTTTTTTATGCAAAAACCGCTATGAAAAATTTCAATGTTCCAAATGGTGCTGGCGCAGCTTGATCTCCAAGACATCGTACACCTTCACGTTGTCTTATATGTGTATTTGCTATAATTTACAATAATATGAAGGTATTATTTGTAATGGTAACGAACGAAGTATCGATGGGAATATTGTACTCCATTCCCGCCTTAAACAGTCTTAAATATATTTAAAGATGTACTATATTTTAGCATAATACGTTTCGTTAAATACAAAATAGTAGTTTAAGGATTTTTTTTTTTTTGGAATGCACACATACAATGTGTGTATTCCAAATTATAAAACCAAGTTAAACTATTTACCCAAATTCATAGGAAATTAATCGTATTGGCCGAATCTTTATTGCGGTACACTGGTGTATCTATAACAATTAGTAAAAACTTGGGATACAGTGTAAGCAATATTATATTATGTAATCATGTATCTGCGAAATCTATTTTAAATAATGTCATTTCAAAACGACGATGTACAAAAATACATTTATTCGTTTTCAAAATCTAACCCTATCATTATTTTTATTGTACTGATATCATCGTGATATTAAGAGTTTTGAATTGTATCTGTCTTGGAAAAATTCTTTAAAACGTTTTAACATTTAAAATATAATACAAAATAATGATTACTTTACAAAGTGATTACATGGTACTACGGTGATTCGATGTAGCATTAAATCAGATATTGTTTTCAGTCAGTAATTCGAATTTAAACCCCTTCCCATTGCAGAATTAGATATACGGTGCACTGAACGTTTTATTACATTATTCAATATTATACTTACTATACAGCAGCTTATAACTGGTGTTATGATTTTGTATTCAATACAAATAAGTGGATACAATTATAATTTATAATGATTCACTTATGCTTATAGGTACCTATACGTATACGTACATTTTGTACTACGGGCTATATTAAAAGTGTTATTTTTGTATAGAAAAATCATCATGTTTAAAAATTGGTATATTACAAACGTTATATTGGTGTAATAATAATTATTTTTACTTGACAATTTTTGTTTTTTCTTTAATAATTAATTCATAACGTTAATAACTGGGACAGTCGGGGCATACTGCAGCGAGACAAAGGTCAGAAATGCGTAACAATAATATAAATTTGAATACGCGGAATGTCGTAATGTTCTCGTCGATCGAATGATGATAAATATGTATACATCAATAAAGTTTTACTTGTATATAATACTGTAGTAATGAAAGAGTGCAGTCGTGGCGTTCGAATTAAACTTTTTACGTTTATAATACTATTATTTTATGTACAGGGTTTATTATAATATGCAAATAATATCAACATATGTGGCTGACCAGGTATTTTTAATTTAAAGCACAGATTAAACATTAAACTCACATTATACAAGTGAAAAAAATTCAATGGTCAATAGTTCTAACCTCTCTTTTTCACTTCTGTCTCGTCCGTCATTTGTTCTCGTCGCCATATAAAGATTTCTACTATATGTTTATATTATTCTTAATAATATTATTAAATCTTACCGTCTCGATATATCAAATACAAAATGACTGTGTGTGTCTGCATTTGTTTACGATGTCTTTAGCCTGGAGTATTTAAAATATATTCATGGAACACGGAAATGTGATACCCTTGTTGTTGTCATCCTTTGTTTATCTTTTTCATTATTTTCAAACATTTTTGTCTGTATACAATCATTACAAAAAGTATTAAATGATACATTTTTAAAATACATCGGCGCATGTGCCCTGTTTTTACGTAATGATTCGAAAATACTGTTTAAATATTTACGCATACAAATGTTAAATGTTAAATGTTGTTTTAAATATTTCTTTATTATATACAATAAATTATGTTTAGTGTAATTAAACACTAGTTTTTGTCAATTCTTTCCGTACAAAATAGTGATCTGTTTTTAGTAAATTTTTGTTTATCAATAAACAATACTTTACATCATTTTTTAATTTATGGTGCACGAGCGTTTAATTTAAACAGACTTTTATTCAATAATGCACATAATATAAATAAAAATTAATTACTATCTGTATAATTTGTGTTGTATTTTTAGGTCAAGGATATACGTAAAAACTTAAAAGTTATACGTGAGTGACAATAAAAATCAAATTTTAAACACATTTAGATTTATGCGAGAGCACTAAACATCTATAATAATATAATATATCTATTATACAAATATAATAGGCTGTGCTACTATAAATTGTTATTAATTTCAAGATTACTTATCTGATTATTTCCTCTATTAAAAAAATGATTGGAAATTCACTCGACGTTTCTAAAAATCGAGAAATGTCCGTATAAAATGTTTTAATTGTAAAATAATAATAATTATGGTGCATTTCGGATTACGTCATATTCCTGTTGTATATATATATATATATATATATATATATATATATATATATA